ATACAGTAGAAATCATATTCTATTTGAGGACTAATCAGAGTGGGCTAACAAATTTTGGATAAACAGCAAGAATGTCCTCAAACACTCCTGATTCAATGTAGAAATAACATACTTCATTATACAATTGGCCAGATGGCCTGAAGTCTTTGACAGTGTCACGTTAAAAAATATAGTGTTCAGGTGTATGCTTTAAAGATTTGTCACAAAGTTTATATGCCAAGTGTTCCGGTATGGGTACAGCGTCACTAACTTGCCAGATGTGTCTGTATCCTAGGCTAATTCTGGCCACGACTACATCACATTGTTGGTTCTGTCCTTATGCTGGCCATACCGGTACCTCTTGTCACAACATTTGTCATATTTACTAATGCTACAACTGTCAGGTCTCTCTGCATTTCTCAGTTCTTCTAGATCAGAGTTCATGATTTTGACTTGAATGTTTTTAAGTACAGCATTGGACAGGCCAAGGTACTGGTCTGCATTTTCTTTCTTACATGCCTCACTGGCCAGTCTATCAGAACAGTCATGATTCCTAATTCCAACAGGGGACAGAATCCACACAAACTCAATACGAAAGTTGTTCTCCTTAACGGTTATCACATTTCTTTTCACGTCACAGACAACTTTAGACAAAGAACCTGACGGTCTGTTCATTGATTTCAAAGCACTTTGGACGTCACAGAATATCACCCCACCTCCATTTGCTTTAAGGTAGTCTGTAGCTAAGTAAATTCCCATTAGTTCAGTTTGTGTTGTGTTGGCCCAGTTGTTCACATATTCTGCACGGCTGTGAAGAAGTTGGACTGGGTTGGGTGACTTGATAATGGCTCTAAATTTGCTCCACACTTCTGCTAGAGTGGTTGTTCTATTAATCCCCTGTAAGAATTGTTCCCAATAGGTGTTCCTCACCTGACCTTTGAGTTCACGAGATGCTCTGTTAGCTTTGAGGAATGCCAGGAGGTTAGCACTAGTTTTATTTTGCTTATAAGTGTTGGCAAGCTGTTCTACCTTCTCTCCTTTGGTGAGGATGGGGTCATGTGTCCACAGAAGTGGTTTAGTGCTGCCCCCCTTCCTCCTTGACCCAGGTGATATAATATGTGGTAATGACATTTACAAGATCACAACAAAATTCATCCGCTGACCCAGGTGTATATCCAGCATAACATCTGTGGATTTAGGTCTTGAAGTGCAGTTAAAGATTGTCTGGGATGTTAATTCTGAGCTTAGGGTGGGGTTCACACTTGACATCAGCAACAGTGAATTCTGAGATGACAGCCTTGACATTACTGTCTACTAGGTTATACACAATCTAGTCTGTACCCCCATCAGATGTGTCACTCCTCCAGCCTGAATTTCAGGAGCTTCTCAATGAAGTGCTCCAGGAAATCCAGCATCACCATCTTACCGGTGTCAGGGGAATACATTTTGTATAATGAAAATGCACTGAAGAGGGCCATCTGGATAAGGTTTGCCTTTGGATGGGAGTATTGAACCATTTGGTCATAATGGTCCACCCCACCCATGTGCTGATTGTAGTCTTCCACCACGATGAGCTTGTTGATGGTTCTGCCTCTTCACCTTGGTGTGCATCTGCTTTGTCATGGTGTTGGTGCTGTGGAAGGTTGACACCATACTGAAAATGCGCTTATCTTTCCATAACACCATGACATTCTCCTTCTGTCTTCCCTGCCAGGTTCTTCTTCTCCCCCAGCTTTTGCAGGCTCTGAGGAACACCTCGTGCCAGTCGTAGTGCTGCACACAAACACCTTGAGAGAAGAGGGTTTGGCACAAGGACACTTAAGTTATAATACTTACCCAGGAATACCTCGTAGCTGAAACCCTTCAGTGGTTCGATGAGTTCGATGAGTTCCAATACGGTGGTGGAAGTTGCTTTCGTCTCACCGGTATACACTTGGACGTTCCATATGTAGCCTGACAATGATTCTGCTAGCATGTACATTTCGATGGCATACCTCTGCAGTTTCTGAGGGTGGTACACGCAGAATGAGAGTACAGTAGTCCTTTCCAACTCGAACTTCTTTCGTCAATACAGATATGCTTCTCAGGAAGGTAGACACTCTTGGTACCGACTGAGGAGGTAGGACATCACTGTGTGAACTGTGATAAGGCAGTCTGTGTTGTCTGCAGGCATGACAACTATTGAAGGCATGGAAGTGCTATACTGCCAGCCTGGGGGTCACTAATTCTAAGGGTAAATACGTAACTCTAATCTTAATTTCTAAGGGTCGCTGCCACCAGACCCCCTCTGGACAGCATGCAACTCGTTAGGTAGCGGTCAGAGTGGACTAGGCATTGGGTTAGGTTTTTCATTGACCAGATCGATAAAGGGAAAGAAGGGTGAAACCACAACATGTCTTAAGTTCTTTCAAATGTTCCTTCTACTTACTTCAGTTCATTTTTGATACTACCTAACCTCAGTTCTTTTTGGTAGCATGTCGATGGTCTAGGCACATGGGTAGTGTAATTCTGATATCAGGGTCACTTGGACGGAAATAAAGGTAACTACTGTGGGAGAAATGAATACTCCTAAAATACTCAAAGAACAAGTTTATTATTATAAAATCAAAGGGGAAAATAGATGTTATTAACATATAACTACCAGGCTCAACTCCTGGGCCTATTGCAGTCTCTGTATTTCTTATTTACTTGTTTCCTTATTTTCCTATTTACTCAACAGCAATTACTCAGATATTACACTCTTACCGTGCACACAATAACTGGTGTCACATTACATTACATAGCAGGACCAGTTCCTTGTCCTTACTCACAATACATAGTTACATGGCATATGATGCTTCACAGACTATTGGTAGGGTATAGGAGATGCACTCACAACACGCTAATACTGATACAAACATCGACATGGGTCCACTACCCAACATGGGGTAATTATTAACCAACACATACAACCACACTGTGAAACATAACTCCAAGGCCTGTCCCAGGGTATAGCACTGGCGCCTCTAAAAACTGCTGTTGTGGTCGGTTACACTCCGACACGAGGTGGGTCTGGGGTCCTCGGCCCATGAGGTAGAGTGGGGCCGATTAATCATGCCGAATCAGCGCCATCACTCCTATATTGACCACTGCTGGGTATCCACCGGCTCCAAGCGACCAGTGGGTTTCAATTAAGCCCACCCTCGATCTGAGAACTAAGGTGAAAGGTGATACGGGAGGTCTAGTCCTACATACATATATAAAATGCTAGTGACAGGGGGGAAGGAGGTTCAGGGGAAAGATAAAGGGAGGATTGAAGTGAATTTTAGGAGGAAAGGATAGGTGCAGTGGCTAAACACCGCTTGCGTGAGGGAGTTTAAGTTAGAGGCAGCAGCAACTCGCCTGGACGCGGCTGGGAGGCGGCAGGACAGAGTCAGGTTAGCGTCAGGTCACGCGTCAGGTGCGTGTTGGGTTGGGCCATGGTTTCTCAGTGCTTGGTCGGCTTGATTGTGTGTGTTGTTTTCTTGTTTGGAGGAAATGTCTTGGTCTTCTATCTTGGTATTCTTCTTAGCTTGAAGTTGATTTTCTTCTAACCCTCCTCCTCTTCTTGCTCTCTTGAAGTGTCCATTCATTCGTGTTTGGGTCTTGTTGTTCGTATTCCTCGTGTCTTATGTCCTCATAGGTGTGGAAGAAGTAGGAGACGGTGAGGTTGACCACGTGGGCTTCAGCTCCACGGGCCTCGTGGTGTTCTTGATTCTGTGTGGCGGGTGTCTTTTCTTGAGTTTTCTTTGCTTGGGTTTTCTTTTCTTGGTTTTTCTTTTTTTACTGGTTTTTTCTTGTCTTGGGAGCGTACAGCAAGGAGGGCCTCTTTGTAGCTCAGTTTCTTGTCGAGTCGAACCTTGGCTATCCTGCATTCCTCCTTCCATTTCGGGCAGGTCCGATCGGCGGAGGAATGTGGGCCGCCACAGGCAGCGCATTTTTTTACTGTGTTGGGGCAGACCGTGTAGCGGTGTCCGGGGCTGCCGCACAAGGAGCAGGTGTCCTCCTGCGCCTCACACTTGTTTACAGTGTGTCCGTAGTGCTGGCATTTGTAACAGCGTTTCGGTCTGCAGTAGGGCTTGACAGGCACAGTTACCCACGCCAGTTGAGCCTCCTTGGGTAGAGTTGTATGGTGTCCGATGAGGGCAGTGGTGTCGGACAGCTTCTTCACAACTTGGAGTTGCCCCTTGAGGAGCTCACTCAGCTCTGCTTGGTCCATGTGGGCAATTTCAGCGTGGGAGATTACTCCCAGCTTCAGGTTGTCCCACTTGTAGGCAATCATTTTAAATGGAATGCCGTTGATATCTGGGATCTCCGCGAGCTGTACGGGCATACCCTTCTCGGCGAAGATGATCTCGATGTCACCATGGAGCTTCAGTTGTTCCACCTTGGTGACTCCCATGATCTCATTAGTTTCAAAGAACTTCTTGAGAACTAGGAGGTTTAATTTCTTGGGGCAGGTCGGCGTATCCGGACGTATCCGCGCCACGTTATCAAACTCGTAACCGTTCATGGTGAGAGAGGGTTAGAAAGTGTGTCACTCTGATGGTCTAGTCCTCCCGCCTCGCACTGGTTTATATACCCCTGAGTTGCCAGCGATCGCTACTCACTCAATGACAGAAATTACAAACAATCTAACTGTTACTCATTCAAGGATGACCCTCAGTTGACAAAGGTATGGCGAATTACTAAAGACGATTTACACAGACTAATTCAAGATTGCGTTTGCCAGTAGAGAGTGGAATAAACGTAGTGACAACTGTGTTTGAAGGCGGGACATACTGGGAGTGATCCTGATGGTAAAACGGATGGGAAAAACACGTCTCTCCCGAGATTCTACAAGCGCTGTGGATTTGAATGTTATGTAGCGTAATATGAATTAAAATGGGTTTTTAGGAATGACGATGATGTGTGCAGTACAGTGCTTCAGGATGGCACGGACACGAACTCCAGTCATGGTATTCCTGAAGGCAGGACAGTCATGCACCACCTGTTCCTTGCAGTAATGCCGCATGCAGGGGGGAAGATCAACCACACCCATCAGAAAAAAGAGCTCCAGGAACTTGGCCATCTCCTCTTCACTACACAGGGCCCAAGCATTTGTACCAATGAAGGCAACATACTGGTTCATCTCCACAGTCAGGTACCACAGGAACTCCCTTATGAAGAATATTTGGAAGATCTGCAAGGGAGTTGTGGGAACTGGGATGAGAAGACCTGGAGTTCCAGTGAATGGACTGTCTGCAGGAGTGTACGGCCCTGCGCTCCGGCGTGCATCACTTGTAGTGGGGAAGGGCTTCTATACCACTAGGACACTAAAAGCAGTCCTAGACTTTGTTATATTTCACACACAGCCTGTTCATCGAGCTTATGGCGCCATAAACCTCCGATGTGGGACTAATCGTGCCTCTTAGGTGATCAGAGTAACGTTTTACCAAATCCGGCTTCGAAACACGAGGTTCCATATATATTTCATTAGCGCATTAAGCGCTCGGACTTCTACATATAATCAACAACCTCACATTCCGTCAGCAGAACACACACACCCGTGCATCCCTCACACACACTCTCTTGCCTCCCTCACACACACTCTCCTGCCTCCCTCACACACACTCTCTCTCCTCACACCTCTCCTGCCTCCCTCACACACACTCTCCTGCCTCCCTCCACACACACTCCTGCCTCCCTCACACTCTCCTGCCTCCTCACACACACACACCTCCTGTCTCTCCCTCACACACACACTCTCCTGCCTCTCACACACTCTCCTGCCTCCCTCCCACACACTCTCCTGCCTCCTCACACACACTCTCCTCCCTCACACACACTCTCCTGCCTCCCTCACACACACACTCTCCTGCCTCCCTCACACACACACTCTCCTGCCTCCCTCACACACACTCTCCTGCCTCCCCTCACACCCTCTCCTGCCTCCCTCACACACACCTCTCCTGCCTCCCCTCACACACACACTCTCCTGCCTCCCTCACACACACTCTCCTGCCACCCTCACACACACACTCTCTCCTGCCTCCTCACACACTCTCCTGCCTCCCTCACTCTCCTGCCTCCCTCACACTCTCTGCCTCCCTCACACACACACTCTGCCTCCCTCACACACACACACTCTCCTGCCTCCCCCACACACACTCTCTGCCTCCTCACACACTCCCCTGTCTCCTCACACTCATCTCCCTCACACACACACTCTCTCTCCTGCCTCCTCACACACACTCTCCTGTCCCTCACACACACTCTCCTGTCTCCCCTCACACACTCTCCTGTCTCCCTCACACTCTCTGCCTCCCTCACACACACACTCTCCTCTCCCCTCACACACCCTCTCTGTCTCCTCACACACTCTCCTGCCTCCTCACACACACACACACACTCCCCTGCCTCCCTCACACACACACTCTCCTGTCTCCCTCACACACACACACTCCTGTCTCCCTCACACACACTCTCCTGTCTCCCTCACACACACTCTCCTGCCTCCCTCCACACACTCCCTGTCTCCCTCCACACACTCCCCTGTCTCCCTCACACACACTCCCTGTCTCCCTCACACACACTCTCTCCTGCCTCCCTCACACACCTCTCTTGTCTCCCTCACACCTCTCCTGCCTCCCTCACACACACACACTCTCCTGTCTCCCTCACACACCCTCTCCTGTCTCCCTCCACACACTCTCCTGTCTCCCTCACACATTCTCCTCCCTCACACACACACACACTCCTGCCCCTCACACTCTGTCTCCCTCACACACTCCCTGCCTCCCTCCCACACACACTCCTCCTGCCTCCCTCACACACACTCTCATGCCTCCCTCACACACACACTCCCCTGCCTCACTCACACACACTCTCCTGTCTCCCTAACACACACACACTCAGGATGTCCCATGAGCACTAAAGTACTTAATATGAGGAAAGAACTTTACCCAGTGTTAAAGATAGAATAATTGAAGTCAACCTCGCAGTAGCCCTGAGGCTTCTGCGTGGTGATCCTGATAACATTGTTTCCTTAAAATTGCTAGAATGTATGAACCATGGGACTACTGAGTCTAAATGGATCCAAACTACAGCTACACATTTGAAGATGTTTGGACTAGACCACCTGTACAAAGTTGAGACACAACAGCTTCCTCCACCCTGGCGGACAGTTCCCTTCGATATCTGTACCAACGTATCCGCCTAAAATTAATTATACAAAGCATTTATCTCAACACACTGCCAAATTGAGAGCCCTTGAACACATACACACTCTACAGACTGATGATAATATCACACAGACCATCTACACTGATGGATCTCAAACACCGCCTGTGGGAGGGCTGGAAGTGCTATTGTTGTGACTCAACCTGCAGTAATATAATTGAGAAAGGGTTAGAATTAACAACTGGGCATCCCTCTACAAACTGAATTAGTTGCCATACTCACAGCTATTAAATTCATTGAAACCACTGTTACTGACAGTCTCATCATCACTGACTCTCTATCCTCACTACTTGCCTTGGTACCCTCGACTCAGGTTGTCACGCTCTTGTCTCTGAAGCCAGACACAAATCGTGCCTTGTTGGCCGAGTGTCAGGGTCAAACTGTTGTGGATCCTCTCACATAGGCTTCATAAAACATGACAGAGTTGATGCCTCGCCAAACTCGCGTCTAACAAAGACACCGTTGAATACAATTTGGGTCTGTCAAAAAGAACCCTTAAAACCTTAATTAGGAAAGAACTTATTGATGAGGTTTGACGCAAGTAGACAAGTGCAAACAGGCACTAGTCGATCCATAGGTTACCATGAGATGTATCAAGTGAAACATGTATGAGGCATTAACAAATCACTAGATTACAAGATGTTTTAACCGCTAGATTAAGGTTAGGATATAGTACAGTATGTTCTCAAGCAGATGTAAACAAAACTAAATGTAAAGTGTGTGGCCCATACATGGCCCCACTTGAACACCGTCCTCGACTGTGTGAAGATAGAACCTTTGGGGACAGGTCCAAGAACACTGTGTGAAATGGCACAACACTTCATCTCTAATGACAAGATAGCCGACATATTCAGATTGTATCCACTTTTTGCACTTAGTAACTATATCACAGAACCAAATACGCAATGTGCTTGAATACCTCACGTAAATGTGACAGTGTGAGGCAGCATACTGCCTCACACGCCTGTTCTCACGCATTTGTGAATAAGTTCTTTATGTATAGAACTAAACAAATAATGTAAATGAAATACTGTGTAACTTTCAGTGCCATAATATCCCGACAACGGGGTTAATTATTGCGACCTTTTGTAAACCCTAATCCTTGCGCTACCGCTCACAGGATGAGTGGGCACATAAAGTAGCTGCAAGCGCAAAATCAAAATCCTCACACACACACTCCTGCTGCCTCACACTCCCTGTATCCCCCACACACACTCCTGCCTCCCTCACACACTCCCTGCCTCCATCACAGGCACTCTCCTGCCTCCCTCACACTCCCCTGTATTCTCCCCCACACACCCCTCCTGCCTCCCTCACACACTCTCCTGCCTCCCCACACACACACCCTGCCTCCCTCACACACTCCCCTTGTCCCCCACACACACCCTCCCCGCCTCCTCCCACACACTTCCTGCCTCCTCACACTCCCTGTATTCCCACACTTCTCCTGCCTCCTCACACACTCTTTTTTGTTTTATTTATTATTATTTCTTTTTTGTTTTCTTTTATATTACTTTCTTTGTTTCTTTTTATATATATTTCCTTTGCTTTCTTTACATATATTTCTTCTTTGTTTCTTTATATATTTATTTCTTTGTTTCTTTACATATTTCTTCTTGTTTTCTTTTACATACTTTTCTTGTTTCTTTACATATCTCTTCTGTTTCTCTCTTTCATATTACTTTTTCTTTGTTTTCTTTATATATTATTAATTTCTTGTTTTCCTTTACATATTATCTTTGTCTTTATTATTATTTCTTTCTTGTTTTTTTTCTTCATTATTACTCTTTCCTTGTTTCTTTTTACATTATTACTTTCTTTTGTTTCTTTTCATATATTATTTTCCTTTGCTTTCTTTATTACATATATATTAATTTCTTTTCTTGCTTTCTTTACATATTTTTTCTTTTTGTTTCTTTTACATTATTAATTTCTCTTGTTTTCTATATTATTCTTTGTTCTTTATATTAATTTCTTTCCTTGTTTTCCTTTTTATATTAATTTCCTTGTTTTCCTTTACATACATTTCTCTTTCTGTTTTCTTTACATATTATTCTTCTGTTTCTTTCATATATTATTATTTCTTCTGTTTTCTTTATATATTAATTTTTCTTGTCTTTTTACATTATTTCCTTTTGTTCTTTTACATATCTTTTTCTTGTTTTCTTTATATTATATTTTCACCTTCTTTATATATTTCTCTTGTTTCTCTTTATATATACTTTTTCTTTCTTTCTTTCTTTATATATTTCTTCTTGTTTTGTTATACATATATATTTCTGTTTCTTTACATATATTTCTTTGTTCTTTTACATATACTTCTCTTTGTTTTCCTTTTATATATTAATTTCTTTCTTGTTTTCTTTACATATATTTCTTTTCTTTTATTTATTTCTTTGTTTCTTTTACATATTTTTTTTACTTTCTTGTTTTCTTTTACATATATATATTTCTTTTGTTTTCTTTATATATTATTACTTCGTTCTTTTACATATACTTTTCTTTCTTTTATATTATTGTTATTATTAATTTCTTTGTTTTGCTTTATTATTTCTTTCTTTTTTCTCTTTTACATTTGCTTTCTTTTACTTTATTAATTTTGTTTCTTTCATATATATTATTTGTTTTCTTTATATACTTTCGTTTGTTTCTTTATATTATTACTGTTTGTTCTTTATATTATTACTTTCTTGTTTACTTTATATATACTTTCCTTGTTTCTTTACATTATATTTCTTCTTGTTTTCTTTTACATATTATTTCCTTTGTTTCTTTTATATTAATTTTGTTCTACATACTTCCTTTGTTCTCTTTATATATTTCCTTTGTTTCTCATATTATTTCTTCTTTGTTTCTCTTTATTATTATTTCTTTTTGTTTCTTTATATATACATTTCTTGTTTTTTACTTACTTATTAATTTCTCTTGTTCTCTCTTTACATACATTTCTTCGTTTTCTTTACATATAATATATTTCTTCCTTGTTCTCTTTTACATACTTTCTTTCTGTTTCATATTAATTTCTTTTCTTTGTACCTTCATATACTTTCCTTTGTTTTCCTTTACATATTATTTCTTCTGTTTCTTTACATTAATTTCTTCTTGTTTTCTTTACACTTTCGTTTTTCTTACATATTATTATTTCTTGTTTTTCTTTACATATTAATTTCTTTCCTTTGTCTTTTACATTACTTCCTTTGTTTTCTTTTATATTATTACTTTGTTTTCTTTTATATTATTACTTTGTTTTCTTTATATATTATTTCCTTTGTTTTACTTTATATATATTTCTTGTTTTCTTTACATATTATTCTTTCCTTTGCTTTTACTTTATATTATTCTTTGTTTCTTTTAT